TACAGTAGGAGTTGGCAGTGGCCACAGAGAAGATGCTGTATACTCTTTTTCTACATCCCCTGCCAGTGCATCGCAGACGTTATTTTTCTTTGATTTGCTCTAACCGTATCTTTATAAGCTTGTGTTTGATTCTGCCACTCCTCTGTGATGTGGACTGGACTCTGCTCCGGTTTGATCTTTACAGGAACACAGTCTGGGAGCTTTCCTCTGATCTTCTCATTTGCACGTTTGACCTTTAGTGGTGTTTGCCTTTAGCGCTTAAGACAGTCCGCCGCGTGGCCATATTACTCCTCTGGAGGCGCTGGTACATGCGTGCAGCGATTTGACAAGATACTCCTCCCATTTTAATTCTATTTTTGATTTGTCATTTGAAAAAGATTGAAATACCAAGCCGAGGAGAAATGAAGAAAAGTCTCTATAGAAAATTCAATTCAGAACAAAAGCAAAGCATTAATGTGCAAATACCTTGAAGTCTTATGAAGAATGTGGAATCCATTGTCATCCAAGAATAAATAAAATCTCTGGCTAAATATATTAAAGACTCTCATCAGATAGTGGCAGTCATACTCAGACTATGTTTTGAAGTCCTGGTGTGAATACCCATATATACAGTGATGGGACAGACTAAGGCCTTAGTAGATGTTTACGTATGCACAAAACAAAAACTCCCCCAGTCGTAGCAAATGCTAACGTAAATAAATTTGGCTCGATGTTCAACTTGGCTTCTTCCACATCAATTACTGTAGGTGACGTCAGCACAGTCCACTCCTTCTATGGGTCATATTTACAACCTCAAGATTCAATTCAATTTATTTTTGAGTAGCCCTAAATCACAACATTAGTTTTCTCGGAGGACTTTACAAGCCTGTCGACTGGCCAGCACAGGTCAGAGAGTCCAACAGTTCAAACACAGAGAATGCAACGTTAAGAAAACACATAAGGCCATTGGTCCATAAGGGGCAGATGACCATAAATGTCTTTAAAGTCCATATATGTCGTTGAATGTCGAGTGTCCTGGATCATCACCACCATCATGGCTTCACCTGTATTGCACCAAAACTATTCTTCAGGTAGCAGGTTTTTTGACATTTGTCCTTAATCCAAAGAACTTTCTGGTGTAAGAAAGATTCTTTTGCATTGAATAATACCTGTACGGCCGAGAGCTTTCACAAATATACTTCTATTCCTTTATTTCTAAATAGGGAAAATTGCACAAATAGCTCTACATACAATTCCTATAAGAACACTTCACAACAGCTGCTATGTGCCCAAACCTTACAACCCTAATACTGCTTTAAGACGGCTGTATGAGCTTTACAAATATCTAGTGTCTTTTTGCATCACCTCCAACGCTCGTCTCTTGCGGTCGTAATGATTTCTGCAGCTGCTGGAGAGTTTGGTGTGTCGAGGCGTGTTTGACAGGACGGCTGCAGCTTCCTGACATGAGAAAACCTTTTCACATTTCACCTGGAGAAACACGGATCCAGCGCTCGCGATTCCATCAGTTGCTCTTTGGATCAGTGTTCGCTCACATCATTTGGAATCGGCTGGAGCAGCGCTGGAATCAATGCGAACATTGATTGTACCTGAATGTTTCAGAGCCTCCGGGAGAGCGCCGTGTAGGAGTTAATAGATCAGCAGAACAGCGAGCGCAAATACATGGGATAGAAGTATTTAAATCTTTATTTACCCTTCTCTCACCCGAGGCTGCGAAATATATTAAACCAAGAGTGGTAGTCCAAATCTGAGCTCCACAAATATACTTTAAGATGAAATGTTAAAGTCACTGACGAAAATATATCTTTAAGTTTTGCAAAATGAAGAGTTTTGTTTTTTCAAGTAACTTCTATAGCTGCTGCCTTCGTTCTCTTGAGTTGAAGTTCACACCTTCAGATTGTCAGCTTATGGTGGTGGTGGATAAAGTCAGGGGAGGGGCTTTAGTTAAGCATTGTCAAGATCAATTGCTCACATCAGAGTCACTGGTCTTTGAAGGTTTTTAAGGCCCTCTCTATCTGTACCTGTGGATATCCCTGTGCGGCCCGACTCGTGAGCTGTACCTCCTCCTCGCCTGGGAGTTGCTTCAGTCTTGCATCGCACCTGTCCTCGTCCATCACCGCGTGGCCATGGTCCTTGTTCTGTAGCTTGTGTTCTGGATTTATAGCCCGTCCGCTCGTGTGGAGTGGACCTTCTCACAATGTGGACCTCCCCGAGGTTTCTCACCTTTTTTCCCACTATGTTTTTGAGTTTTTCCTTGCCAATGCAGGAGGGTCTGTGAGACAGTTAGGAATGTGGTGATGATCCAGCAAACTCAACATTTATGGACATTCATCAACATTTATTCACCTATGGACCAATACTAGTTCTCTATTCTTTGTGTTTTGTAAAGTCCTCTGAGATAAGATTAGATAGACTTTATTGATCTCACACAGGAGATATTTACATGTCACATCTGGCATGGATAGAATCACTCAGATTGTGCAAAAGAAAGAAATGTGCAAACATGTTAAATGCAGGATTTATTATGTACAATAAAAGTGGAAATTAAAAAGTGGCAATCAAGAAACAGTGTCAATAGTTCTAATAATTCAGTCCTAATGCAAGTGACTTAAAGTGACTTATTGTACAGTCTGACAGCAGTGGAGATAAAGATAACTACCACTATTGTGATTTAAGGCTATAGAAGAATAAATTGAAATTGAAATTAAAATGTTGTGTTTGATACAAACGGTTACTGAGGTAGAGGAGTTTACTTTTTAGTGCAAGTCTATAGGAGCCAGAGTAGAAGGAGTTCCCTACTGGGCTTTATATTGAGCCTGGACGTTAGCATTGTCCATACTGCATATATACAGGCCATGTGTTTGCTGCATGCTATCTTCTTGTCCACAGTTCATTCACTAAATAAAGATTTGATTTTAACGAGCTCTCAATACTGCTTATTTAAGTAGTCACCTCTCTGCTAATTCTTCATTAACCGTACCGACTGGACAGACTCGCCCGCTGTGGCCAGAGGCTCCCGATTGACCCTTTGACTTTCTGGTTTAGTAGTTTCCCAGCAACAGAATTTGAGCACTCCTGAGCGAGGAATTGTCTTTTGTTTTTCAAAACTCTATGGGACAACTTTGACCTCAATCATTTGTTATAAAAAGACGAAGTAGAAAGAAGAATTCAGTTGCCTATTCTGACAGACGGCAAGGCTTTTTAATTTCCATTTTTAATTGAACTGAGGTTTGAATTTTTTACTTTAAGATGTCAAACCAAATGTCTAAATATTCTAAAAAGATTGCATCGCTGTCTTAAAGCTGGATTACCACAGAAAGGAGTTATCTAGTAAAAACCCATCTTCGCTCTCAAAACAGCTAGTTTTCACATGCATTTATTTTTGGTTGATCATCTTCAAAGTGTAAAAATCACTAAAATGTATGCATTAAAACATACACTCATGACAATCAATCAAAATCAATATTAGGGCAGTGGATTTTTACTGATATTATGTGGGAAACAAAATCACCTTCATAATGTAATCATACATTTAGCTGATTTTTCAATTCAAACAATGCAAAAAGACACCATTGGACACAAGAACACAGCAGTATTCAGCCAAAGGACAGAACGAGCACTGAGTTTCAGATTGAGAAGCTTATTTCATCTCACATCTTTAGATAGTTGTCCGAAAAGTCAACATTGAGAGGACCACCTTCACTCAGCCAATCAGCTCTCAGCCTAAAGAGTCAAAATAGTTTCTCTTATACAATGAAGACAGATTGTTGTTGTCTGGGGTTTATTCCAGAACACGAACAACACAAATCCACTGAATATTCTTACATCATACAAGCCGCATTACTATTGCAACAACATATCATCAGTAAAACATCAGAAGTAAAGCTAACCTGTCTCACGAGGGACTAGAACAGGCCCAGATGAACCAGATGTCTATAAACTTCCAACCCCGCTCACTCATTCAACACAAACTATCTTTTAAAACACTACAAAAATCCACCAGTAGAAAGGCAACACATTACAATATGGTACTATACACACACAGACCCAAACACTCTCTGACCCGACACCTGTCTCCCACACACTCTCTCTGAAGGCATCTCTCTCTTTTCTCTATGTACTCCTTCAGTACTTTTTATGAACAGTTTTCAAATGCAGTCTGGTTTGAACATGAATGAATGAATGTGTGTTTGAAAAGGGAATGAAATCAACAAAATAATAAAAACAAAAATAAAATAAATTAAAAAAAAGACCAAAAAAAAATGATAATGATATTGATAATCCATTTCAAACAGTAGCTTCACCCATCGAGATACACCTTGAGTTCAAAGTAGTTTAGAAAATAGATTGTGCAATAGGTGCCAGAGAGTTTCCAGTTGCCCTGTACACAATGTAAGCATTTATAAAGTCAATAAAGTCCTGCATCTTAAGTTATTTTAATTCTATTCTATTTTATATTTCAAACCCACCCAGGACAGCTACACTTCTTCGTCCCTTTTGCCAGACCCACCCAGAAATACATGTAAATATCAGTGGTGCGAGTAAAACTGTGGAATCAACTCAAATATGAAATAGAAAGTTCTGCTAACATCCACATGTTTAACAAAAACAAAGCAACAGCATTGAAATTATATGAGAAAATAACTATATTAATAAAAACATATCGTTTGAAGGAGGAGCGCTGAAGTCCATTTTAATTATTCTTTATTTAATTTGTACATGTTTTAAGAAAGGGACAGACAACATAAGATTTTTTTAATTCTTTCTGATCCTGTTTGTGTAACACGACAATTATTTTAAATGTGATTGTGATATGTGATGTATTGTCATGTCCACAGTTTAAATAAATATGTATAAAACCCAAACTAAGTTAGAAACACCAGCCTTAATTATTGACCACCATATTAGCAGTTACATCACTCTTACCTCCTACTGCAATAGCTTGGAGCACAGTTGATTATGTCCAGTGAATATTAAATGCGCAAATTAATTTAAGCCTCATTTTAGTATACGCTGACTTTGCCGACGACCTTGGCCGGGCGCCCACACGACACAATAGCAGACTTTTTTCTCTTGCATGGCGGTTTGGTAGTGACTGTGCCCGCCTCGCCGCCCTCACCTTTATCTTCTTTTTCACTTTCGCAGGAGGAGCACCCGGCCGCGGGGGAGATCGTCCTCTCGTCCGACCACCTCCGGATGGTACTACAAGTGGAACGCAATCAGTAAGTGTTCCCCCTTCTGCCGCCGCCGCGCTCAATAACCTCCCCCTCGCCTCACCTCGGAGAAGACCGGAATTAATTGGAAGAACAGAGAGTGGAGTGATGGGATAATAAGGGCATATTAATTCATTTCCGTATAGCACTCGTGTCTAGACTCCTGGGCCGGACCGCGGCGATGTCCCGTGCAGCAGGACTGAAGGGTAATGCTAATCTGAAAGTAGCGTGTCAGAGGTGTCTCGTCGGGACAGGAAATATGTTTGTAGAGGTCAGTAACTCAGGACATGGAGTGGACATGCTTGTACAATATCAGGAAGTGGGTTTCGGAGCCAGACCATATTTGGTGTCCTTAGTCATTTTGAGTGTTTGTTTAGGGTTTATGTTTTGACCCTTTTCTCTTCATAGACAGAAGGTTGCAGGAAATTGGAATTCGCATTACTGGTATTACCGTTACAGAGCGAGCACAGCAATGAAACTAAAGGTTCCTCTCTCTCTGACCAAAGTGGGGGCTACATATACTGTATACTGTATGTTACTAATTTCTTGCTCAAGGACATAGGTATGGTGCAAACTTTGTCAGGTCAGTTGTACTTTAAGGCAATGTTTTCCCTGGATTTGAGTGTTTTTGTTATTCCAATCATTATAGATAGATAGATACAGATTCAGAAACTTATCCATCCATATAAATAAATACTTTATAGTTGTGCCTCATTTCCACTTCATCCTAACCCACCGAGCGTCTCAGGCTGTCGTCAAAACGGTCATTTAACCCGCCTCATGAGGTAGTTTGGAACGCTGAAATGTCCTCACGGTGGGACAATTCCTGGGTTCAATTCCGAGTTTGCATCTTCTCCCTGTGTAGGTTTCCTCACGGGTTACCCCTACCACTAAAAACATGTACAACAGGTGAGGGTTGAATGAGTGTGACTGTGGGACGAAAGATGGTGTATTTACAGCTGCTTCTGTTCATGAATACACACTCTCCCATCCAAATAAATAGATACATAAATTGTAAAAGTTCATGATCTTTTAGGATTGAACTGATTTAACATGTTGTTTCTGTAAATCCCTGTTTGATTTCAATGCAGTCATAGCAACACAAACCATTCTTCCTCCATAATGTCCTGTATTTTCCCTTTTTCTAACCTCTCTTCAGTTTGTATGGACCTAATCACCACAATCATCTTGTCAAACACTTGCATTTGGCTGAGGGCATTACTGCAGTGTAGGATGTGGCTGTTTGCGAAGCCGTTTAATAATGCAGCAGGCACATTGCAAACACATACGTCGTTATCGCCGCCACGTTGGCAGTAATGGGCAGCGAGCACGGCGGTGTGACCTGCTTGTTACGGCATGACGCCTGCTGCAGATACATGAGTGATCCTGCGGGGGACTGAGGGAGCGGGGGCCAGAGCGTGTGGAGGTTACTGTGTCCCTGTGATACCATCAGGAGGACCTGCTTTTGAATAAGCCTCATTAGGGCTGTCGTCGGCTGATAGGGCCTTTGTCGACCAACATGTGTTCTAGTCGAATCATCACCTTATTCAAAGAAGAAATATTATGCATCGTGTTTGACAATGAAGCAACTTACTATGTGAAATAATACCTAGTCTTGTGGTCCTGAATTAACTTGGCACTCTCTCTGGGTTGTATAAGATGGACTGAGGAGCATATAGGCAAAACATCAATAATGCATTTGTATTGTTTGAATTTCACCGTGACACTGTCTCCTGCACTTCTCTAGCTTGTTTTATTCCTTTACTTTTAGCTTTTTTTATTTATCTGCCCACTGGGAACTTTTTCACTTGTAAAATCATGCTTTCAATTCCTAAAAGTGCAAAATATATGGGGAAATAGGTATTAAGGGTAGGGACAGTGGTGTTTGGTTAAAAAGCTAATTTCTTTCATTTAAATTTTTATGTGAAAACTTGTTATTTTAGTATATTTAGTATATATATTTTGACCGAACTCTAAACCAGTTTGATTATCGTAATGTCGCAAAAATAACTAAATTAGTTTGACTTTAAATTTAAGTCTGGTGAGTACAATTTACATCAGAAAAGATGAATAAACATTTTCAATAATACTAAAATAAGATCATATAAAACAAAGTCAAATAAAAACAAACAATATAGACCTCCTCCACTCCTCCTCCATTCCTCCTCTTCCTCCACACCTCCTTCTCCTCCTCCACTCCTCTTCCACCACACCTCCTCCACTCCTCCATACCTCCTTGTCCTCCACTTCTCTACCCTCCCCTGCACAACCTTCTCCACACAACCTCCTCCTTGTCCTCCACTCCTCCTCCTCCACTCTTCCTCCTCCACTCCTCCTCCTCCACTCTTCCTCCTCCACACCTCCTCCTGCCCCTTCGCCCTCCTCCTCCACACATCATCCTCCATGTCCGAATCTATCCGGGGGCCCATCGTGTCATATCACCCCCACCTTCCAGCAACACAACGCCTTTACATCCCGACGCCAAACGGATAATGTCTCCGAGAGCGAAGTGTGGACGGATAAATTGGAATCCAGTTGTGATATGATCAAAGCAGACAGGCTCACAGCAGACGTTTTAATAGAGGCGAAGAGCCATTTAGCCATTTTATAGATAATATACTGGCGCTATTGCTGTGAATACAAAACCAGTTTCCATGGCGATGTTGTAAAAGTTGATGAAACCAATTTGATGGATTGTTGCATTAACACGGCCATACTTGAAATGCAAATGGACCAGTGCCGGAGAGCATCATTACTGAACTCATTTAGTAATCTTTTAGAAAGGATTTACCAAATTTAAATTATCTCTGAAGAGCTTACACAATCAAATGTATGGTGTGTTTTCAGAATACATTTCAAACTGGGTGTTAAAATAGTTGGATTGCTATAATGTATTAGCCTGGTCTTACCATACCATTGTACTCATTTCATTTCGTACTTATGCCTGGATTTTCTCCATTGAGCTCCGTTAACAGGTGGGAGGTGTTAAGTCCTTTTGCAGATTGAAACGATTAGATCTGAGTTTACCGTGATGTATGTATTGCGCCCGAGTGAGTGAGGCATTTGGCATTTAGCCTAGCTTTAGCATTTAGCTTAGCTTTAGCCATCTCCTTTGCCACTAACAGAGCAGTGGGGAGTAGAGCCACAACATCTTTGCAGCCATGACATTTGCTAAACATTGCTCTCGCTTCGGCTTCAATTTCTTGATATATTTGGAGCCGAACAAGAACAATTGACTTTACTATTGGTTTTGCCGCCACAGCAGCCACTAGGATCAGACCCAGACCTACATGAAGGGAAATGTGAATTCATCTAAGTTTACGGATGGCTAAGGCCAGCCTAATAATGTATGAAAGAAAGAGGCCTTGTGTAGATCAATGCAGTGTCGGAGGAGGTCTGTCTGGAGGTCCACCAGGAAGAGAGTGAGTGACAGTCTGCTCTGAGGGCATGGAGCTTCTGTTGTAATGATATATGATGTCATCTTTGTTGTTTTGAGCTCTATGTTTGAGCTTCACCCAATTTAGAATTCTCTCAATGGGCTATCAGGAACTTAGCTTGGCCTACTTCTAAAAACCCTTCAGTTCACTCCCCTCCATCTTTTATTCAACCTGTAGAGACGAGGCTGGTTTTACTGACCAATTTTCAATCCAATCGCATGTTTTATATAATGTTAGAAAGTTTCCAAAGTGCTGCTCAAAGGTAAAAGTAAAAGTAATATTTAGGTTTGTCAGCTTTGTCATGTATACAAAATAGAATAAGTAAAACATTATTATGTATGAAGTAAAAACAATTATATCCCCAACTTTGGGATTGCCCATGCAATTTTTATATCCTGTTTGTTTGAAAAGTTGAAAAAAACTTTATTTACAGTATTTTTGACCTCCACAATAAATATTTTCACAATTATAAATATTACAAGTACATGGTTTGAAATACACAATTCCCACACATTTCAAAGTTTATGGAGTTCTATAGTATAACCCTTTTTAGTATAGATTAAACATTTAGTGCAAAAAGTTCCAATAAGTTCTGTATATAAACGCTTGTATTAATTCGTTTTATCTTTTGTCCGTGAATTCTTAATCAGACATGTGTAAAAACTCAACAAATCAAGCAATATTTTCACAAATTAAAGTGATTTTGTGTTTATCTTTTGTCTCTTTGTGTCTGTAAAGAACTTAGAAAAAGTCAGAGAAATTGCTTTCTTGTCAAAAAAAATAAGCTGTTTTGATTATCTTACAATTAAAGCTTAGAAGATTCTTTTATTAACAAAAACAGTGTAAAGACATTAGTACTGCTTACTTCTTTGCTCTACCTCAGAAGTACTACGAACTTATGCACACTCTTTGTCTTATTAAAAGAACCTTCTGAGGCCTTAACATAAAGAAGACATAACGAACTTTCTCTGTATTTCAATTAATTACACAGCCTGTATACGACTAAACCGGACGCTATGTAAGCAACAGCAATTGACCCCTTGCATGTGACGTCCCGGCCACGCCCACTCTCCATGACAGACGGCAGAAGTCTAACTGCGAGCCTACGGACACCTGACCAAAACAACCTGTTTCAGCGCATTACAGCCAAAACTGTGACATTTTGCAGTGCGGTTGATTATACTAACAGGCAAGGACATAAGCTTTTTTATCTGATACCTGCTCGTCATGAAGACAGAAGACGACGATGGCGGCAATCAACCAAAAGGACTGGGACCCATCCAAATACTCCCTAATATGCAGTGAACACTTTTTACACGATAAAGCAATCACAAGTTTGTATTTATTTTATTTCCATTAATTTGGAGGACAATGACACACGTCAAACGTGTCTCTTACTACTGTCCTGTATGTGCGCTGCAACATTGACATTTTTATCTTGTAAGTCAATTGCGTGTTTCACTATTTTCCTCTCCGTCAGTACGTATCATGTTTGGCTGTAGACAGAAAAGCCACAGAAAAGTGGACTATTGCTAATGCTACCAGAAAAATGTACATATAAGTCTGCTCCAGTGTAAGGGGATGCATTGTTAACGATAATGATAAAGATCATGTAGGGTGAATTTGGGCAAAAATAGACATTTTATTTAATCGATAAAATTGACTGGGGGGAGAAGGTACGGGTCAACATCCAGTTAGGCAATCCTTAACTTCTCCAAATACCACTCTTTGTGAGCCCTGACCTGATGTCCTACTTCCACCTATAACGTAATCGAACATTGCTTGAAGCAGCCACGTCTCGATTTAGGAGAGGAAGCTCCGTTTTTAAGAGTTGTAGTCCGTTTTGCTCTCGCAGCAATGCTAGTTTCCAATACTTCCGCCGTAAGCTCATTCACAATCACGTGACTGGATGACGTTGATGCATCTGGTCAATAGCAACGACAATTGATCTTTCTAACTTCGAAACGTCCATGTCAAACTAGAACATTACATGCACAGGAGTGAGAGGCTTTCTATAGAGTCGGAACAATTATCATACAATATAACCTAATATTCTTGCAGTCGCCTTCATGATTATTTCATGAACGTACGGCTTCACTTGTTGCCCGTACATGTTTTTTTTTTCCTGACGATGACGAACTGAGGAATGCTTCTCAATAGCCATCATCGACCACGGAGTCCGGCGTTCTCCTGGTTTGATGGGGTTACAGTTGCTTGGAGACTGATGGATGAGGGCGAGGCAGGAGCAGACGAATGGCGGAGCTGTCACAGACTGTTAGGTGAGCCGACAGACAGAGGAGCTCAGAGACAACAGTGATGAATGGGCCCAGAGCCGATGAGACTGAGCAGAATAGACCTGTGAAAGAACGCTATAGCTCTGGGCTTCAGACAACTTCAGCCGTACAGCCCACATCCATTTTCATTTTTCACACAAACTTTACCTGTCTAAGCTGTTTGGACTTTCGAAGCCTCCGGTTCAAGTATGGAGACGGTTTGCTGATGAGTTTTTACACACAAACACCAAAAGCAACACTATTTTTGAAGCCATGCCGGCATTGTAAGGCTGGACAGGGCAGGGCCTGGTTAGTCCTGTGATGGGAGACCTCTGGGAACAACAGGTGCCACATGGGGGGTGTAAAGGGTTGTTGTGTTGCCTAGATTGAGAATGAGTCTGGTGTTTGTTGTGTTGCCTAGAATGTGTCTGGTGCGTATGTGAATGGCTGGAAGGTGTAAATCAAACTCAAAAAATCCAAAACTGAACATAAGAATTGGGGAAAAAAATCACACAGACCAAGACTAATTACAATGGACCAGCAGCAGATGGAGAAAAGCAGAGGGGACATATAGACACAAAGAGACACACGTGAAAAACGGCGAGGAACAGGGTATGAAGTCAAACATAAAACAAAACCAGAATAGAACTGAAGTTCCACACCATGACATTTATAACATTCTAAAACCAAAAATATTAAATTGGAAAGCGGCAGCAATGAGTGTTCAAATTGGTTCAAAT